TATAATGTCATAGGGTCTACCCTCCAAAGCATCCATTTTCTCCAGGGGAACTGATCTCTGTCATCTGGAGATCAATTGTAACAGTGGGAGATCTCCAGGTCCCACCTGGAGATTGGCAACCCTAGGGGGAAGTCAGCTGCACAGCAGGGGGTTAAAGAGAATGGTTTGATGGCTGCTGGGCCAAGATTGGCAACAATAGTTCCCCAGGAGCCCCATCGTAAATGCACCAAACAATTCCTCAAGATTTTCCAAAACACTACTCTGTTTTGGGCTCCTGGGGAACTTTGAAGTAGCACCAAAGCTTTACGATCTCTCCAGCTGTCACCTGGAGACTGGCAACAGCTTGTCTGGAGTGTGGGCAGTATGGCATTGTATCTGTCTGAGGTCCCCCTCTTCCTCAGATTCCACCCTCAGCAAGCTTCATCCCTAAAATATCCTGGAAGTTTCCAACCTGGAGTTGGCAACCCTATCTGCCTGTCTGTCTTAAGTTTTACAACCCCCCCCCCCCACAGCCTCTGCCTAGGGAGCAGCTGACATCATTCTCCTCTTCCAATTGAAAATTCCAACTGCCTTGCGGGGGGGGGGTGAGTTTGAGGTGTGGAATGTAGTCCAATCAGCTTCCATATGTAAATGACCTTGGAACGCTGGGCGGGACTGCACAAAGCAGCCAATGAACCCAGCCAGTGTCTTCCGAGTGGCAGTTTTTTCGGCCTAACACTAAAGGAGTGCATTTTAGAATTCTGGCACCCAAAACCCTTTTATAATATAGGAGAGATTCCCCTGACTGTTCTCTCTTCCTGTCCACTGACTCCCTCTGCATTTAGAGTCTCCTTCTCAAAAGAGAGTTATCCCCATCATGGTTGGATGGGAAGCCACCTGGAAACCCTGTGTACACTGTCTTGATTTCCATGATGACAGAAAAGGGGAAATGAATGTAACAAACATATTAATAAACAAAGTGGCCGGGGTAATATAATAGTAGCATAATCCAATACTGGTTTGCAGATTGCTAGGCTTGGCATGTTTTTAAACTAAATGCTTTGTGGAGTCTTATCATTTTTGGCATTTGAAAAGTTCAAATAAAAGTAGAAGTTGATCTAATTTCCCTGTTTCCTAGGAAAGTAGGTACACAGAGCCTACTATGGAATAAAATCATTTAAGATTGCCTTTAATCCTTGTTGCCTTGCATTGATGCGAAATCTAGGCTGTTGCCAATGGAAAAACAAAGTGATTTCCACAAGTGACAAAATACAGTTACAGGTCTTATTGCTGCAAAGGTGCTGACTTTCTTTTTTAAAGGATCTTAAGTTTGATTTCAAGGGCATGACGACGTTTCTTTAACATCAGTAAGATGCTTTGTGACTGCATGCTGAGCTAAAGCACCCTGAGAAAGCCCTGATGGAAATAAGATGTGCAGGTCATGATCCAGTTCAAAGGTGATTAATTGGCTCTACTTTTAACCATCCTCAGAAGTCTAATCTGGATTCCAGAAAACCTCTGGTGCACCATTTCTTTGACTAGCCAACCATTTGGATTCCCCCCCCTTTGTGCCAATTTTCATTTTAAGGTCAAGAAGAAAAACACAAGGAAAGCTGAACAAGGTAGGTTAGGAGCCACGAAGAAGGAATGTGCTTAACTTAAAATTTCGTTATCCAGACCCTAAAAATCTTACAGCCAGCCTTTTAAAACCAACATGTTAAAACTACTGTAACACTTCTGAGTCTCTTCCCAGTTTCTATCCACACAACGTTGCTAATGTATTTGCACTTACAGAATGCACAATCATTTTGGATTCTATAAAGAAACTCTCACATTATGGTCCCTTCACTCATATACACTCAAATAAAGCACATTAACCTACAGGGGCCCCTTCCCACTACGTTGCAGGTGTTTGTTCCCTGTTAAATGAAGAGAATCACTAAAATGGAGAGTGGCGGGAAAGTGGGCTAGAATTCCTGACCAGGTGTCCTTCTGCGAGAGAGACACTACTTTGCAGTCTTCAGCCTCATTTCCTCACAGCTGTAAAACTGGATGGCCCACAAAAGACACAGCACCCACACTGGGGCTGTATGGAGCATTTCGCCAGAAACAGAATGCACAGTCGCAAAAATATGCAGAGCCAATGGAAATCTGCCACTCTCATCACTTGGTGATTTATGTCCTCCAGCTATTGAAACTGAGATTTGTGAATCCATATACATATTACAAAATGTCACCGCTTCCAACTTGCATTAGGCCAGGGGCGTTGAAAATAGCAGGCATGAACTCGCCAGCATTCAGGATGTGGTAGAGAGGATGTGCTCAATGCACCTGCCCCAAATCCTTCCTGGTTTCACAGCTAGGTAAACTGTGGGGACAACAAACTCTCCAACTATGGCAATGCTTCAGCACAGGGAACAGAAATCTGCACAAGAGGTCTAAAATATATAGCAAGCTAGTGATATGTCACTGGGAAATGACAAACTTGCTCATTAAAACATTCTCTGTATCAGTGCCATTGCTCAGTTCCCTCTGGCCGAGTTTCCTCCTGTTCTTAATGAAAAGTTGAAGGAAAAGTGCTTCACTTACCAGTTTCCATTTTGCCATCTTGGGCTGCAGGCCCATCGGGAATGACACTCTTCACCTGCAGAAACTCATCGGGTTCATCCCCACCAATGATGGTAAATCCAAAACCCATATTGCTTTTTTTAAGAGTTGTGCTGAGAAAAGTCCCCTTCAACTGTGAGGCATCCCGGGTGAAAAGCGGTTTTTCTACATCAGCCAACATAAAACAGAAACACAAACCACATCTGGGTCACACAGTTAGAAATCCCTGGCTTCTCCTAGTGAAGAAGCAGCAGAAGCAGGGCGGGCATTTGGGAAACATAAAAAGCAAAATGAAAGCACAAGCATTCCGACAAAAATAAAAGCATTAGTGAGTTATCCTTTCTTAAGGCAAAAACAAACGGGTGAAGGATTTGCTTATCTATGCTATTGTTCCTCTCAGTAAATTCTTTGCTAACTTGGGAGCTGCATTTTTTGGGTATGAAAGCAGCTGTCCAAAAGTGAAATATTAGATTTGTGGTAATTACTTGAAATGGAAAAATATTTTGTTTGGTGAAGAAGCATTGTCAAATAATAGTAATACTGATATATTTTACTTCTTCTTTAGCTCCTCCAATACAACTTTCTTTCTTTCTTTCTTTCTTTCTTTCTTTCTTTCTTTCTTTCTTTCTTTCTTTCTTTCTTTCTTTCTTTCTTTCTTTCTTTCTTTCTGAATGTGACAGGTAATGTGTATAACATGTGAGACAGTTCAGTGGCCTCAACGTCTGCTTTCTGAGCAATTCTGTGAGAAGTGTGACAAAGACCAGCAGGCAAAAGAAAAGCCTCACCTGACATCCAGTGCCTCTGTTCTGTGCTTGATTGTGTGAGAAAAGGTATGGAAAAAGGTGAGAAGATTGGTGGGTTTTTTTGTTTTCAACTTAGCTCACTACTTTTTTGACAAAAGTGCAGCCAGGGTAAGCAGCAGCACTCAGACATACCATACAACCTGTAAACTCCGGCACTGTCCCGCCGACACTGAGTCAGGTCACTCACACTGCGAGACCTCTGAGGAGCAGGGCGCGGGTGAACATGATTGGGCCTAGGTAATGTTGCTGGAGTGCTTTCTACTGTTGCAAAGGAGAACAAGCCTCATTCTTTGGCTACAACCTTATGTAAAAAATTAACTCTACCCCCAATATAGATTGTTGACCAATTTTTTTCCTGCGAGCATTCACTTTTGCACTAAATTATGAATAGGGCTGCTAAGCCTCCTGCTGTGGCAGCTCTTGTTACCTGCCACCATTTGGAGAGGCAGCAGGAGGGAAAAAAAGTGCAGCACTACATTATTTCCAGGGAAAACCCAGAAGTGATGTTGGGTAGCTCTACAAATCTCCAGAAACATTATGGTAAAACCATAGAGTTTCTGGCGAGTGCTCGAACAACCCAATGTCATTTCTCAGTTTTCCCCAAAAGTGATTTCATAGAGCACATACCATTGTGCCCCCCATGTCCCCACCCCCAAAGCTCCCACAACTCAAATTATGATTCTTACTTTCATAAAGGTAAAGGTAAAGGTTCCCTTGCTCGAAAGCCAGTCGAGCCCGACTCTAGGGTTGCGGTGCTCATCTCCGTTTCAAAGCCGAAGAGCCAGCGCTGTGCGAAGACGTTTCCGTGGTCATGTGGCCGGCATGACTAAACACCAAGGCGCACGGAACGCTGTTACCTTCCCACCGAAGTGGTACCTATTTATCTACTTGCAATTTCTTGCTTTCGAACTGCTAGGTTGGCAGGAGCTGGAACTAGAGACGGGAGCTCACCCCGTCATGCGGCACCCGGGTCTCAAACTGCTGAACTACCGACCTTCCACAGTCTGCAGTTCAGTGTCTTAACCACTTGAGCCACCGCAGCTCCTGCTTACTTTCATAATTCCCCACTAAATAGTAGTACAGAGTCATTGATTTCAAAATGAGATCCTACAGAAGTTCAAGTAGTTCCTACAGAAGTTCAAGTAGTTTCAACAGGAGTTGCAGCCCAGTTTGGATGTGTGCCTTGGAAACAATCTCCTTGTGCCTAGGACAATAGTCCCCTATAAACTGTGAACAGTTGGGATAACACAGAAGAAAAATGAGCCAACCCCTTTTTTTTCATTGGGTTCTTCCTCTCTTGGAATCCCCTACCATCTGGGCTTCTAAAAATTTCTGGAGCCTCATCTGTTCACTCCCAAGATTCTCCTTCTCCATGCACAAAATATGCTCTACCAGCCAAGCAGTTTGTTCTTTGTTTTTTCACAGTCAGGAAGAAAATAATTGTTTCTTGTCTTGGGGCAATCCAGACGAGCTACTCAGAGACTGATACAGGGAAAGTATCTGTCCGTTCTTCCCTTCCAGGCCTAATAAGTGCCTATCACCTCTAACACTTCCTGTACTGCAGCCTGGATCCAAATGAGGGCTCTGAGCAACTTCTGCGTACCTTCAAAAATATTGGGAAGATCCACTTCCCAGGTTCTCATTTCATTTGGCCCTTAATAAGGGTCACATGATTTCAAATAATATATATTTAAGCTTAGAAATTTTCTGATTGCCATCTGAACCCATCACAAAAATACTTTGCATCTTACTTAACAATGCTGCATGTTGTAATCAAAATAAACAGAAAACGGAATGGTTTCAGTTTTAAATATGCTGCATTGGTACATTACTGTACCTCGGAAACCTTGGGCCGGCATAGGCTTTGTTCCAAGTTCTGCGTTGGGCATGGTACGCTGTTGAAGCTTCCTTTTAGCTTCCAGAACAGGATTTTCAAATTGTGTCCTTCTATTTATGTGGCTGGAAAAAGAAAAGAAATAACCTGTCAATCAAAGGTAATTCACTTCAAGGCCAACACTGTGAATGACCATCACTTACATGGTCACAGTCTGTCATCTTGTCTACATAGATCAGCCACTATATTTGCTGAACTGTGTTCATGTGAGAAGCCTTCTACCAGTGGAAGTGGAAAACAGGTATGTGTCTGCTAGGGTTGCCAGCTTTGGGATGGGAAGTACATGGAGTTTTGGGGACAGACCTTGGAAGGGTGGAGTTTGGGAAGAGGAGAGAGCACAGCAGGAGTGCCTGCCCATGGAGCAGGAGCTAGCTTTGCCCACCCACCCCCATCTTCTTGAAGGAAGCACAAAGGTGGGGCAAGCCAATGGAGGCTCAGTGTGGGAGCACGGGCCAATTGAGGGTTGGCTTGCCAGCCAGGTCTGGTGGCAGCCACCCTTCTTCCTCAGTCTGGACTAGTGTGAACTCAAAGGTGGACAGGAGCTGCACTGCTGGGCAGTGAAGGGTCCCACGTGGCATCGGAGCAAGCTAGCAGGTTGTGGGGACTCGACGGAGAGGGTTCAGGGAGGTCTTACTAGGCTTCATAGGAAGCTGCAGGGCCTCAGTGGGTAGTGGGCTCCCCAACCCCTTTTTCCTCGGGTCCCTGTCATGGTGACAGTGTTTGTATGCATTGTCTTCAGCCTCCTTCAGGCCTCCACTCGCTAGCAGCTGTGCCAGCGCAGCCCAGCTACTGGCAGCAGTTGGGGACTGTCTTCCTTCATGTGGTACAGACCAGGACAGTGAGCAGTTGCTCCGGGCAGCTCCCTAGCTCAGCCAGGAGGGCTGCGGCCGGGCAGTGGGGCACTTGCCCTGAGTGTGGACGCATTAGGGCAGCTGAACTTGGGGCGGCTGTGAGGCAGTGGGTGCCAGTCAGGCATCTGGGACCACAGTGGCTCCCGCCCCTTCCACCCTCCAAGTTTTTTTTTTACAGCAGTCGATTCTTCAGTGCTTGCCCCTTCCACCCCCCAAGGTTCGTTGGTCCTCTGAGGCTTTCAGCCTTGCTGGGTGTGTGGCAGCGCCCACCCCTTCCACCCTCCAAGGCTTTTATGGTCCAGTTCTCTGTGGCCAGACACCCCCACCTGTTTTTAGAGCTAGGAAATCTAGGTGAGTGGGCCCGGTTGGCGGTGAGGTGAGGGCTGGGCCGGGCCGAGGATTCATGCTCTTGCTGTGGCCAAGGCCCTCCCTTCTCAGCAAAAGGCTAGGAGGCATTCCAGTGCCAGCCCTTCAGCTGGAGACACCAGATAAATAATTCAGAATCGTAGTTCCTCTCCACCAGTGGAGCTACGGGGCCAAGTGTCTTATTCTGGATAAGGCAGCACCATGTATTTCCCTCCACCTTTTTAAGGGGTTTTTAGGGGGACAAGGGTCTGATTCAGTATTAGGCAGCATCTAAGGGCCCTATCCACCAGGGTTTCTTTAAGTGGCCCAGGGTATACTTCAGTATAAGTAAGATCCTACCAGCGGCTCTAGGGGCCAGGGGTCTGATTCAGTATAAGGGGCCTGATTCAGTATAAGGTAGCATTGTGTATTCTTCCCCACCAGTGGGTTGAAGGGGCCAAGGGCCTAATTCAGTATAAGGCAGCATCAGGTGCTTCTCTTCACCAGTTGTTTTAAGGGGTCACGGGTCAAACTCTGTGTAAGGCAGCATCATGAGTTCAACTTCACCAGTGGCTTCTAGGGGCAAAGAGTCTAATTCAGTAGAGGGCAGCATCACTGTCCCTCTCCTACAGCTTACTGAGGGCAGGGGGATTGGGAACGCTCCAAGATTAATAGGGAGGGTTTACTTGTCTTTAACAATCTGACTTCATTATTCCATTCTCCATTCCTTATGGGCGCAATATGCCAGCTAGGAAGGCAACAAAGAGGAAGGGTGGCATGGCTGGGAAGGCTCCCAGATGGGAGCCACCGGCCATCTCATCCTCTGCTGGCTGTGGCTCACTGCAGCCAGCAAAAAGGTGGAAGAGCAGAAAGATGGAAGAGAAGTCCCTTCCCAGGAGATCTCCCTCCTTCTGCTGGCAGCGATGAGCCCTGGCCAGCAGAAAGGTGGAAGGGAAGTCCCTTCCTGGGGGATCTCCCCCCTTTCTGCTGGCCACTGTTCTTTTAAAATTCTTTTAAAGTTTAAAGGGATTACAGAAGACAGCTTGAAACAGCTGCATGGTGGGGAGTGCTTCCCTACTGCACAACTGTTTTTCATGCTCTTTTGCAATCCCTTTAAACTTTTGCAATCCCTTTAAACAATCATGCTCCCCGCCCCTCAGCTGTTTTTCAGGCTTTCTGCAAACCCCATTTAAAGGGATGGGGGTTTGCAGGACCACGAACTGCACCCTTTCAATGGGGTTTGCAGGACCATGTACTGCACAAACTAGTTTATTTCCTCCTGGCTCAGGGTTCGGTTCGGAATTCTGTCACGAACCACAAACCGAACCACACACTCCCAGTTCGTGTCTTTCTCTAGAAGGAGATGATGAGAGACCTTTCAGTACAGTATGCATCAAGGGAGGTCTGTTGACCTCTCTGGAGGCTTTCTAGAAGCCTTTGATAGTCATGAAGGGAAACAGGATACCAGACCAGAGGAACGTTTGGACTGATCCAGTAGGACTCATCTTATGTTCTTAGTTTGGTAACATGTGGCACTATAGAATCATTAAGAATGGTGCAGCAACCCATACAGCTATTAAAAATACACATGAATGAGAATTTCATTAGATATACAAGCAGTGATATAATTATCATATATATCAAAACAGTTTGCTAGATACCTCTTATTTAGGAACAACATAACAGATTTTCACCTCTATCAGAACATCACCACTGTATAGAAAATAATTAATGCTCCTCCATCGTAGTATTGTTATTAAACATATACCTGTAGCCAGGGCTTTTTTGGGGGGGGATGGGCTGAAATGGAGCTCTGTAAATCTCTTCAACAAAATTCTTTAAAACTATTTAAAAGTTCATGAGTTTTCAGTATACAGATTGAAAACTTCATTTTCCTCTTGAGAGTCCCTAAGCCCCACCTGTCATTCTCTGCTTCGGTGAGGTAGTGACTATGGTCAGGCAAGTAGAAGGAGAGGAAGCTAGAAGGCAATCCAATGAAAGAATCACTTTAAACTCTACAGGCATAGTGGTGGTGGTGGTGGTGGGGAGGTTGTGCCTTCATAAAGGCCATTGAAATTAGGGGCTGGGATTCGATTCTGCTCAGCAAAGTTTGATACCTTCAATCAGCCTACGGAGCTTTCCTCCAACAGCTCCCCAGTGTCCTTTCATTTGTAGGAAGGCTCCTTTGGCTGGAAGAATATTCAAAGATGGCCAAAGGGCTCAGGCCTGTTCTGCAAGGAACTTTGAGGGGCAAGTAAAAGCAGGAAACTGGATCAAGAGCCTGAGCCCATTTGAGAATGAGAGAGAGAGAGAGAGAGAGAGAGAGAGAGAGAGAGAGAGAGAGAGAGAGAGAGAGATCCTAACAGTAAGGAACAAAATTTGAATCCAGTGGCACATTTCAGACCTTCAAGACCAACAAAGTTTTGTTCAAGGAATGAGCTTTCATGTGCACACACACTTCCTCAGATACATTGAAATGGAAGTTAACAGTCCATACATATAGGCAGACAGTGAACAGCAAATTAGCATACAACATAATGAAGACATTTTAACAGATGCAAAGACCAAACAGGAATCACAAGCTAAGTTTAAATGGTCACTATTTGTTTGGATTTAATTACAGGAGAAAACACAGTGGAGTAAATAAATATGTCAAAATAGGAGACTAATGTGTAAATGTATCCTTCTTAATTGTGGAATGCTAAGAGTAAATAACTGAGACCCTGTTATGCTTCATTCGTCTCGTCTCAAGCATGGAGGTAACTAATATCATCCTTTTCTTTGAGGTGGGGTGAATGGTTGTGCTGTGTTATGTCTCCTCTGTCACCAGATCAGAGAAATACATTCCAATATCATTGAATTATATTACAATCACTATTCCAATCTACTAATCCAAATAAGAAGTACACTAAAATAAAGAGGATGTATAGTCCTTAGAAGGACTGAATGAATTTAGTATATGTAGTGAGATAAGAAACCAATATCCCTGTTAAGTCCTAGGGTTTTTCCCCTGAGTGTTGTAATAACTTGTAATTCAGCAGTTTCACTTTCCAGTCCATTCCTGAAGTAGTTTGAGATTGGGGGACTGTCTGTTCGCAAGAAAATGTCCCCCCCCCAGTACAACTGCAAGCAGAGAGAGGCGTGTGAATTGGGCCCGCCGAAAAAGACAGATGGTAGCCAAAGGGTAGCACTTTTTCCTGTGACTAAATCTGCCACAATCAAGATACACCATCTAACTTTTTAAGATTTTTCTTTTATTATATAATTAAGACACTATTATAATGTGATATTATCTCCTTAAAATGAACTCATCTATTAAACCCCAGTAATAAAGAAAAGTGTAACACTGCCACTTTTTATAATGAAAAATTGGAAGCAATTTTCACTTCAAACCTATTGAGCTTAGACAGCAGATTAACACAGAGACTTCTATGCTGACTATAAAAGTTGTTACAAATGTGTTCCTGCTTCACTTTTAATGCCACTGGGCTTTTACCACGTTATTGCATATTTTGATTAGGACTCCTTTACCACAGTTATTTTAAAAATCAATAAATGTTGTTCTGTGTAGCTATATTTTCCTGAATATTACAAAAATATAACATACATAAGGAGATGAGTGAATTAAATAATTGGTGTCACCACCAGGAGGATAAACCTTTAAGGCCCAGGTTAAACCCCACAGTACAATTGTTACAATCCCCGATCTGGACCTTTCTCTTGTTATTTTACAAAAGCCACACACCATGCATAAGTTTATAAAGAAAACATATGGGTTTACTGAAAAACAAAAGGGAAGGCAACTTTGGATAAAAGAAACAGATAATACATCCTAACTAGGGTTGCCAAGTCGATCTTCGCCGGGAGCA